GGTTTCCTTGCTTTAAAAAACTTGCCCTTCCTGCATTTGGTTTCCTTAACTTTGCAGAACAACCAACACAGTCCTTTTCCTCCCCCCGCAAAACAGGGCCACCAGCTTCCCATCTCAAACACAGCAGAGATGCCTTTCAGGGACAATTTGGTACCTGATCACTGAGGCGTGCTCCAAGGACAGGAGACTCCCAGACTGCTCTAGCAGTAGTAAACACTTAGCTCTCCTTTCTACCCTGTCCTATTTCCTGTCCCTTTCCTGCCCGGTAATTCCCCTTTCTCTGCCTTTGAGGGTAGTATAGGTTAAAAGCCTGATAAAATACCATGTTCTGGTACCTACAATGAAACCCTCCCAAAGAGCATTTCAAAGAACCCATTAAAGGTCTGGGAGTAGCAGGCCTGGATGGAGCCACAGCAAACCTGGAAAATATAAATGGCCCTTTAACCAGCGAGAATGAAGTCCTCAGCTGATCATTTTCTCACATTTGTTCATAGCTGACCAGTGATGCCTGCTTGAAATCAGATCCGTTACAGGTGGAGTAAGCCCTCCTGAACGGCCCCCATCCTGCCAGCTCCCGAGTGTCCCAGTCTCTGCTGGTCCTTGGAAGGGGATTGGAGCCTTGCAGGACTGGAGCATGCGATGCAGCATAACAGCAGCCATGTGGTCCAGCCTGCTGGGCACTGTGCTGCAACTCCAGCCACGTGTATCCTATTCCCAGGCCTGCTACTGACCTTGGAGGAGGCTTTTGTGTCTGTTGTGGGAGCAGATTAAAAAATGATTACCTTGTTGCAATAAATGTTCCAGCCAGAGCTGGTGGTTAATTAATTAAGTCAGGAGACAGAGCTGTGCTGGAGCTGCTGCTGGGCAGGGGAGGGGGGTTCTTTCCCAGGCCAGCAACCAAAGAAGAGATGCGGAGCCTGGTTTTGCTCTCACAGGCTTTTTTCAAGCCAGGAAAATGAGGTGCCTTCCAGAGATACATTAATGCATCTGGTCTCAGACAGCGCTGGACAATGACAGTCATGTTTAAAATCTACGTTCAGCTCCAGGCCATCTGAGCTTTGCCTCCATTTGGAATCAGGGTAGCTACCTCAGCGCAAAGCCCTGTGTGGCGAACCCCTCCAACATCCATTTTAAAAGGGTTTGCATCTCTCATACTTAATCTAGTCAGGATCATGCTCAATGCATCTGTTTCTAGTCTGATCTCGAAAAGCCCGGACATGGGTTTCTTGCAGTTAAACAAAATCCATTCATAGAAAACGAGAGTTGGAAGGGACCTCAGGAGGTCACACCTAGTCCAACCCCCTGTTCAAACAGGACCACCCCCAACTAGATCATCCCAGTCAAGGCTTTGTCTAGCCAGGTCTTAAAATACTGCAAGGTTGGAGAGTCCATCACCTCTCTGGATAAACTGTTCCAGTGTTTTACTACCCTCCTTGTGAGCAGTTTCTTCTTAATACCTAACCTAAACCTCCCTTACTGCAACGTGAGACCATTTATCCTTGTTCTATTCGTTAACTCATTCATCTGTGGATGTTTGTGCAATAAGAAGTCCTGAGTCTAGGGGTCTTACAAGAGAGCTAAAACCTTGACTATGAAACCACATGAGGTTAATGTGAGCTACGTTGGCATTAGAGATCACTGCTTCTGTTGCACCCTAGCCCTTTGCTTTAATAAGGAGGATCCAGCAGCCTGGAATTTCATTTATAATTTATTTTAAAATCGTTTATAGCCAAGGCTGTGAGGAGCTCCCGAAATCAAAGCACTGAGTCTCACAAAGAGAAGAACAGAAATGAGGAAGCATATCTGCGTTGCATGGAGGCCTGCACTGCACTGCCTCACCTCCCAAAGCCCCACCCTGCCATACAGAAGGGGCAAAGTAAAGACTGATTTGTCCTCTTTCCAAGCCCCAGAGAGGAATCTGGAGCCAGATGTTCCCAGGGCATAACAACAGAGGCATGAATAACAAGGAAACCAGCTGGATGAAGACTAGGCCCCATGGGTTGAGCATCTTTCATGCCCAAAATGAATTGGGAAACCTTGGCCCTAATTTCATCATTAATGCCCAAATATATGTTGAGTTTATAGACAAGATTTGCATGAATAGCAGCACACAGGGGTATAGACTGACTGTGCTACTATATCAAAGTATTTGCACCATAGAGTGCAAGTAATGAAGTTAATTCCAAAAATAGCTCCATTTGCACATCAACAGATCATCTTTTCTAATCTCAGTGCTGCTTTGACTAAAGCACGATGATGATCAGACAAGCAATGCTTTACACAACACAGGCCGGTATCCATGGGGCTGGCTGACTTCAGCTGTTTTTATCCTGTAGCGATACGGGCCTGAACAAAATATTGGCTCTGACTATCCATTAACTGTAGATAAGTCTGGATCGAAATGCAAAAAAGGCCCTTGCCTCGCTGTGGGCTGAATATAAACAATTCTGACTTAAGAAACAGCAGAGCTGAGAGAAGAAGAACTGGAATAGGGGGTCTGCACTGGGCCAGGCTTGAGATGCATTGGTAGCTTGGTGTGAGATGTCTGCTCTGGACTAACAGAAAACAAAGTAGTTCAGGACTGAGGTACAGAAAAGGCTGTACGAGTCCTCAGGCTGTGAAAGCTGTGGGGTGCAGAAAAGGGCCAGCAGACAGCTCGGTGGGGTCCCAGAGCTAGAATAGCCGATGCAGTGGGTCAAGGACTGTGTGGGCACCCCAGGGCTGGCATTGCAGGGACACTTTGGCCTCAGACGGAAAGCTGCTGTTGGAACAGCGTGACGGGGGCTCTCGCAGTGCTAGTGCATGATCATCTCCACCAATATTTATACATGGCTGTGAAACTTCATTCTGTCGCTGCGCTGGGCAATTAGAAAGCCTTTGTGACATGACAAGGCTAATCAGCAAAGCCGATTACAGATGGAATGGAAGTAGGGATGCGCCTGGCGGAGGGCCTTGCTTTTGGGATGGCCTAGCTAGTCTCCTCCTGTCATTAATGCACTCCTCTGCCATTCATGCACCTCCAAATTTGAGGCAAGGAGTCCCTGGTGGTTTACCCATTGTAAAGATATATGTCCAGGACCTTTTGGTGCTCCTTAATTTCTGGTACAGACTTGCTATGGGTGGAGCTGGGCTCTATGGAGCAGCCCTACTTTGGAGTCCTGGATTATCTTGGGAAGGAAGAAAAAGCCAAAGTTACCATCAGTTTGGAAGGGGCAGCTCCTCTTCCTTCTCTGGGCATTCTTTGGATAAATGTGACCAAGGAATTTCTACCCTCCCTTGCATTTAAGTCCCTGTAATGCAAGCTGGATTTGCTTGTGCTCTCGCCTTTCGGCTTTAATTCTATGAGGTATTATCACATTAGCGGGAGTCAGGGTTGTAACGGTGACAGATTCTCATTAGCAGTGTAATCCGCGGGGAGGTGGGACCCGTCTGGGCACCCTGAAGCATCAGCCTGATTCCCGCAGTCTCACACCCTGTCTCTCACTGACGGAGATGGCTCAGCCAAAGACGGTCTCTTACCACACCATATTCAGTACCTCCTACTGCTAAGTCCCAGATCTTGCCTGGTGCTACTAGAAGACTAAACGTTACAATGCCACTGCCAGCAGCCTGAGGCTGGGTCAGCTATAGCTAGCCCAAGAAGGGAAGAGAGTCACACTGGAAGCACCTAAGAAGTTGTGCCCCTACTCCCCGTCCAGGCACTAACCCCTCCTGCTGTCAGAGGTGTCCAACTCTCTGGGTCCATCAGGCTTTCCCACAGGACAGGATCTGCAGGAATTATCCTAGGCAAGCATGATAGGGAAGAAGCCCAAAGGAGGAAGGCTGATTCAGTGGTCTGACCAGTAGCCTCAAACTTGGACACCCGACCAAAGGACTTCTCCTGTGGCCACAGCCATGTCACTAGGCCTTGATATCAAGGGTTAACAAACCTTCTCTGCTGCAGCAGGTTGGCATGAGACTAAGTACAGGTGCTCTGGCAGCCAGGTATCCTGCAGTGGGGATGCAAAGTGGATGTATCCCTTCACTCCTTTGAGCTCAGGAGCTCCCAGCACTCTCCCCATCAATAGGCAGGCTCTGCTTGGCAAACAGCAGCCATATTTCTCAGCCTGAATATTACTGGCTACAGCTGAGAACTGCATTTGGATGCCACATGCTCCCAAGTGGTTATTAATGACTTCCTCTCTCCCTAGTCAGAACACTGGACATGCCTTGCCAGGTTGATAATTTGTTCATTAGCCGGCTAATGAATGACTTGTTAATTACAGATTTGATGAACAGCCAGCAAGCCCTATCTGCCTGGAAGAAAAGAGGAGATGGAAGTACAGTATCTAAGGAGGCCCTCTGCTAATGGGCTCTGGGAACCGTGTAGGGCTCTTTGAACTGGCTTGCTTTTTCCTTCGCTAGGTCCCTTTCAGCATGGCTGGTTGCAGGTTTGGAGTATCGTGTGGTTAGAACAGTGCAGCTGGGGGTCAGCAAGCCTACTCCATTTCTGACAGGGAGTGTGGTCCACTGGTTAGAGCCAGGAGAAGATCAGGACTCCTAGGCTTGCCCTCCTGAATCTGCAAGAGGAACTTGGCCTTGTGGCACCTGGGAGCCAGGACTCCCGTGTTCCACTTCTACTCCCGCAGCAGACGGCCTGTGTGGCCTGGGGCAAGTCACTTCTCTTCTCTGAACCTCAGTTTCCCCCTCTGGAAAAGAGCTGGAATCTCGCCTACTGCCTGCATGTGCTGTCAGGGTTAATGGTGCTTATTAAGTGGTCTGAGATGCTCAGATGGAAAGCTCAGGAGGAGGACAAAAGGCTGTATTATTAATCATAGAGTAAGCAATACATCTCCCCGCTGCTAATAGAAATGCACTCTGCCTGTACATCCAGCACCTGATGCCTGAGAGCTTGCGGTATTCATGCACCTGCTCTTCCCAACAGCAAGGCAAAGCCCTCAAGAGCCCATCTCTGCACTAAGCCCTGTCTGCTGCAAACACCTGAATTAGTTCATTCCTACCTTTGGCTTTGAGTTGTTTCTGCCCAGGCCAGGCTGATGCTTTCATCCTCTGGATGGGTTTTCCTTACGGAGTGACTGAGCTGGGCTGGGCATTGTGCTTTGGGCACTTCTTGCTGGGGACTTGCTTTTGCAGGCTCAGGGTATAGGTCTCCACTTGGATTACATTCCCAGGCAAACCAGGCTACCAGCCCTTGCACCAGACTGTCTTAGGACTCTTCAGCTGCCGATGGCCTCATCCTCCTTTGCCAGCCATCCAGCCAAATTCAGAACTCCCTGCCAGGATTTTGTCCCCACCATCCTCGACACAAGTTTCTTTTCACCTTGTTAAAAAAATCCTCCAAGAAAAGGGAAAGCAAATTAACCAAACTCTCAAGGCCTCAGCGCTAAGAGGCACAAAACAAATGGAATAGCCCTGTGGCTCGCGTCCAGTTAGGGGCAGGCGTTACCTGTGCAGCTGCCCCACCATAACTAACTTGCTTCTCCAGGCACGGCTGAGTTATGGGGCACTTATGTGCCAGACCTGGCTGCCATTACTCATGGCACTTGTGGGACATTCTCCAACAATCGATACGTGAGGCTCTGAAATGGTGTGGGAGAGCTGGGCAGGCCAAGGCAGAGGCTGGGGAGTCACAGTAAACTCTCAGCCGTCTTGCTTTCACTGTTATGGGGGGCTGCAGTACTGTGCTGAAAGCACCAGGTTTTCAGAAGCAAGGACCCTTGTGTCCCTGGGGGCACAGCAAGTCCAGCATCTCAGGTGGAGGGGCCAAAGCTAACCAGCTCTGACTGAGCCTGATGGTGGGAAAAAACCTTCTGATTTCACCTTCATAGTCCCAGGCATGATCCAGAATTGCTGACATTGCCACTTATTTCACTGGGAGCAGGGAAATCACAGCACAGACCTGTAGCCCACTGAGTAAACAGGGCCAAGCATTGATATCCATGCTTCCTAGAGTGCTGGCCAAATGCCTTGGGGAGGTGCACTGAGTAGCACCCTGCAAAGGGAAGCTGGAAAGGAGGAGCTACACACACATTACTTCCACTCTATTTTTACTACTGGTTTTATTTCTACTTCCCTCTGCTGCGTGAAACATCAGGGTTTCTCCACTCCATCAACACCGACAGCTCACAAAGGATTGAAGCCCTGTCCTCTGTGACGGTGATAGCTAACACATAGGCTGCTTTAGCCTGGATGGTAAAAGACTGCCCCTGGGGGTCTGATGCCAAGTCTGTTGCAGTCAATGAGGGTCTTTCCATTGCTCTCAGTGGTTGCTAGAAAGCCGGGAGTTGATCCCTCTGGGAACCAACCAATCCCTTGAGGAGGGAGTTTGCGGGGCAGCTGATTGCAGCAAGCCCATAGCCACAGGCTGCAAGAGTCCCTGCAACTCTGACACAGCCCCCTGCACATGATGCACCCTGACAGCTGCACAGGCTCGTGCTATTTTTTCCCCTGCTGATGCTTTCCAAGTCAGCTCTCCCTCTTTAACCTCCATTGGGAAACATGCTACCTTCCTCATACTGCCCTTCCCCTCCATGGCTGATGTTCTTCTATGGCTGTAATTGCTGCTGTGGGGGAAAATGCTTGGTAATAGCAAAAGCTTAACCAAAAAAAAAAAAAGAGAGAAAAGAACCAGGGCTAATATAGAGTCCCCTGCTTGCTCTGACCCCTCTGAGCAAACACACTGCTGTTTGCCAAGCTTTAAACCTTGATAGCATGGGAACTGCCAGTTTGACAATGCCCTTGACTTCAGAGTTTGTTCAGATGCTTGGCAGCCCAGGCTGAGTTCTGCTAAGCAGTCCTGCAGCTCCATATCCTCTTCAAATGATAGTAATTAAAGTAAAGTAATTTAGCTCTGATGTTGCTCATGAACCTGTCAGTTCCTCACTGTCTATAAGGCAAGTCTCTCTTGATCTTATTCCTGTCCTCCTCCTCCTCCTCTTTGCCCCTTGCCCATCTCTTGCTTGTGTTCTCCTTTCCAGACCTTTCACTTGTCCCCTTCACCAAAAACTTCAAGTTCTTGTGTCCCAGTCTGTCTTTGGCTCAAGCCCAACCAAACTGCTATTCTAGTGGCACCTTCTGTTGGCTTCAACTGAACACAAGACCAACCCAGCTGCAAATCAGGACTCGGGTGTCACAATGACATATCGGTGATACTGCTCACCGCTTGTAGAGCTAGGCTTGGCAGACAGCCTATGGCTGTAGGAACCCCTGAGTTTCAGAAAGGTTTCATATCCAAATTCTCAACCAAAACTCAATCTAGAAGATGGGACTGGCATAGTCTAGCGGTCAGAACATGAGTCAGGGCATCAGGACTCACTTCCTACCACTGCTACCTACTCCCTGTGTAATGCCAGGCAACCCAACCCCAATTCTGTACTCCAGGAGACTCCTGCATCAGCTACCAGGGCCTTGGGTTGAGATGGGCTGAAATAAGTGGACCATAAAGTCTCTCCCCAGATCAGGTGGGTGGTGAGCTAGCGGGGAGGAGTACAGTGCAGCACAGCTTTGGCTCTTGTCCCTCTACTCCAAGCTGGGGAAGAGCAAACAGGCGGCAGCCCCCAGCACAAGTCACTGCGGGCTCACTCACCAGTATGTCATTGGCACCCGGGATGAAAGGAAGACAGCAGGGCCGGCTCCTTTACACCTGTTCCTTCCTCGTTCTGTGGAGAGCTAACAAGAGCTGCTTGGCGGTAGTGCAGTCAGCTCTATCGATCGGGTTCCCAGATCTGTCCTGCCAGAGAGAAAGCGATAGTTCAGAAAGGACATGATTCTCCCAGCTAATTGAATGCTTTAAGACTGAGCTTCATCCAAGACACTTAAGAAGATAATCAATGTGTGTGCTGTATACACTGTGGATCTGCATGTGCTTCCTCTGTGCGGCCCACGCAGGGCCTTCGGGGAAAAGGCAGGAGTGGGGTCCCCAGGGAATCATGAGGCAGAGAGCTTGGAGCGACTTCCAGCTTCTTGCCAAAGGAAGCCTCTGCTCCTCTCTGCTTCTGCCCACTGTTGAGGACTCCTCCCCCAGCATATCCGGTGCATGGGGCAGCAAGGAGAAGACAGGGGGCACTTTGGGATAACCATGAGCTCCAGCCATCTCTACTGTCTCTTGTAGCACATGCATATAGCAGCAGTTAAAGAGGTCTCCAGGCTGCTCTAATCCACACCAAGGTCCAGGCAGGAGACGAGGGACCTTGACAGCATTAGGGACAGGATACCCGAGTAGCTACTGTGAGCCAGGCCTGACCATTCCTGGCATTCCAAACTCAAATACAAGTTTCCAAAACCTTCCAGCATTTGCCAGCACAGGCTCCAGCCTTTATTTTATTTATTACTTTCTTAGCATCGGGGACTGTGTGATGTCTCCTCTGGGCCTCCACCAAGAAGTGGTCAACAAGCCCCATGCAACCCAGTATTAGGTGAGTACCAGCAAGACCCGCAGAGCTGAGCTGTCAGGTTTCATGTTCATACACACATCAGGCAGTGCCATCTCAAATTATATTTGACATTCAAATAAAACCCCAAAGCACCTGAGCAAGAAGGACTGGCTGAAAGAGCAGCAGCTGGGGATTTTCTTCCTAAGGAATGGATTTGTTTTACTCCAGTCTTAGCTTATCTTTTTAATTGACCCTCCTACTTCAATCCAGCAGCTTTTGGAAGTTTGCACAGTGTCGGGAAGGAACATTTAACAGGAAGGAGGCAGAGAGAGTGAGTGAGAAAATGAGGTTGCTTGGGAAAGGAAGAGAGGGGTTCAGTGTGGCCTCTTGGGCTTGCAGAACCAGCTGGTCTGGTGCAGCGGGACCAGAGGACAGGGTAAGGACATGGTTGAGAGGGCTCTTGGCACAAGGGGCAAAGAATGGGCTCCACCAGCAGCAGCTGGGGACAAGCAGTAGATCACATCATGCAAAGAACAGGGGCAGGAGTGGAAGGGAGCCTGGCCCCAAAAGAACCTGCCCTCCGGCAATTCTGCACCCCTAAACAGCTCCAGATTTCCGCCCAGATCCCTCCAATCTGTGTTTTTCCTTACGCTGCTGTAACCAGTGCGGAGGGAAAGTCACTGTCCCTGATAGGGTCCCGCAGCCTGGCTAGTGTTGGTACCACAGAGCTGCAGGTTAAGGGTGGCTGTGTGCACTTGTGTGTCTGGGCTTGCTGGGTACAGCTTCTTGTCTATAGGTGGCAGCAGCATTCTGGAGCTCCTGCAGAGGGAAATGGTAGTATGAAGAGCAACAGAGAGCCCTGCCTGCTTAGCTAGTTACTAAGGAGAAGAGTTATCCTGCAGGACAAGGTTCAGGATTCAGTGGGCTGGAGAGGATGCTTCAATCAGGCATTGATTCTTATTGCTGGCTGCAGACAGCGATACACCGGCTCCTAGGAGACACCTCCCCACCTCCTGGAAGGAATGACTAGCAGGCTGGCACAGCTGGATCTCCCACCAAAATGGGCCAGGTACTAGGGCCAGCAGCTGAGGTGGTATGGCAGTGTTGCTGGCCCCTGTGTCCTAGTGGCAGGGCATTGTTGGGTAAAGGGGACACGAGGACACACAGGCGGATGAAGGGGTTGCTCAGGGGACAGCACAAAGTCTTAACTCATGTCAGGCTGCCTAGCAAAGCCTCTCTCAGGGGAAACACGTGACCACAGGCAAGAGGACTGAGTTGACAGGTACTTTCAGAACAAAAAACCACAACAGTTCCTCCAAGACTCACATTCCCGAGGCACCCCGCCAAGCACCTTTGGGTTGCAGCTGTGGTGTGCCAAGCCTGTGAGGCTGAGAGCTGCTAGTCCGAAGCAAGGCAGCCCTATCCATATGCCGGCAAGAAAAGCAAGCCCACCTGGCAGCCTACAAAACGCCACACTCTACCTGCCCCCAACACACACATACATACACAAACCTGTAACTCGAGGAACATGCCCAGCCTACCTGCAGCCTTGCAAAAAATGCCCCTGGGCTTGCATATTGTTGATTTCCATGGGGCACTCTAGTCAGGAAACTGGGGTGGACATAAGCAGCACAGAGGTAATCAATCCCCTCTTTGGGAGTGCTCCAGGCCCCCCCCATCCAGGGTCTGCTCACGGGCCTCAGCTTTGCACCTAGGACTGACACTATTTAAGAACATAAAACTGAAAGCAAGATCTTTTCTGGCTTGCCACAGCTTCCCCTTGAAAAGCATCAGCTTTCCAGAATTAACAGTACAGCATTGCTTCAAAGAAAGAAGAAAAAGAGCTTGCATGGCTTTCTGCAGAGGCACCATCGAGTGAGCCTTGCTGTAATCATCGTAGACTCCTAGGATTATCAGGGCTATATCACACTAGGCACTATACATGCTATACCAAGTGCAGGTCCCACGGGTGCTCACAATACCCCACAGTGGCTGCTTAGCCCTTGCCAACCTGAAACCTTCCCCCTGTTACTCTCCTGCCACACCTTGAAGTTATTAATTTCTGATGAAAGGGAGGCTGCCCCAGGACTTCCCAATCCTGGTCTTACTCTTAGGACCACAGGTGCTCATAGGCATTGCCTTAAGGGCTAGTTTGTGGCCTCCGCCCTCCCCAATGCCCACTCCCAAGCCTTGCAGGTGACCTGCTAATGTTCACCCTTCCTGCACTATAGGCTTCATGCCCTAGTCCTCATTCCTCCTGGGCTACAGACCTTTGGGCTCTCCAGCCTTGCTGACATATTGCCCTTTCTATGGGTTTGGGCTCTTTGGCCCCACACTCTGCTCTCTGGCAGGCCCCATGCACTGGAGCTTTCCTCGATGCACCCCAGTCCCCCTCCGGGCACTAGACAGTCCCTGCTGCCTGGTCCCCCCACCCCCAGGCACTGGACCTTCTCCCAAGTACCTAGTCCTCCCTGGACTCAACCTCTCACTCCATGATCCAAGATCCATGAGAGGCCTCAGGCCTATCACTTCTTCTTGCCCCTCTTCCTATCTCTCTGGGCCAGTTGGGACCTCCATACCTCCCTTTCAGTCCCTTCCACAACTACCAGACATCACCAGCCCTCTCAGGCCATTGCCTCTGTCCCCAGGCCTATCTATAGCAAGGCCTGCCTAGCTCCTCTCAAGCTCTGGGCCCCCAGCCCCTGTTCCCAGGCCTGTTCCCCTACCCCCTGTTCCCAGGCACGTGACAAGCACCCTATCACACATGCACATAGCGAGTCTGTACCCAAAAAGTTTGCAGTCTAACTAGGCAAGGCAAACAGAGGAAGCTTTGTTATCCTCCTTTCATGGGGTACAGGAATCCCCAAAACCAGGTGATTCACCCAAAGGATCCATAGTAAAACTGGGAATCAAATCCCAGTCTCCCAGGTGTTTTAACCCCAAGACCATCATTGCTCTCCAGCTTAGTTGGACCCACTCTTGTCAGGGGATCATTATAGGCTAGAGATTTTGGAGTGAAACTGGGAAAGCCCCATGCAGGGAAGGTGCCTCCTTCCACCCCCAAGGGAACAGTCAAAGCAAGCAGGGAACAGAGCCAGCTCCAAGAGGCAACTGATGCTTTTAACATGACTTGGGGGAAAGGAGCACATTAATGAGGAAGGCAAAGGCCCAGTTCCAGTATCAGCCACTCAAGCGTAATCAGGCAATGAAACAAATCAGGTTTTGCTAAAAGCTCAGGAGCCCAGGCTGGGCTCCCCCAGCTCTTGCGGCGGGTCCTGGGAATGAGATTTCCATCCATTAGATGGATGTTAGAAGAGAGTAATTGAGATGGCTTGCATCGGGGCAGGGAGCACTTGAGTGGATATGACATAATTGAATGAAAATTCTCAGGCCCTCTCATTACAGTGAATTAGCCAAGCTGGGCCTCTTGGCAGGAAACAAGGTTAAATTCCTATATATCAACATGTTTGCCCTTTGCGGAAAGCTTCCACCATGCAGCAGGAGGTGCAATGGAGAATCGAAGACAGAGGACACGGGGAAGATGAGGAGTCTGGGGTACCGGCATTGTTCTGGGAAGCTGGAGACAAGGCACTAGGTTCTCCAGAGATGAGGCTAGAGATATAACAGAGCTCACCAGTGAAATGAGTTGTCTGGTCTCAAGTGAGAACTGCCAGTCACTCGCTGGAAGAACAGGAAGGGGTGCAAGCACTGAGAGAACAGGGACAACACAACAGGGCTCAGTGCCACAGATCGCTGTGCCTGTCCTGCAAGGAGGTGGTCAGAGAAGAGATGTGGCTTTTGTCTCAGAAGCTCCACCCAGCAGCTCCATCATACTCATCCTGCTCCCTCCCTTCCCCCTTAGGCTTTATTCAGGGGCCCAGCTAAGACCCTGCCTGTGCACCCCAGCCCTGCCCTACTCATGTGCATGTTCCCTTTAAAAGCCCTGGAGCTCAGCCATGCCAAGCCTGGCACCCAAAGGCTCCATGATGGGGGGAAGCAATGGCCTGCCAGAGCCAGCGCTTCACTCTTTTCCTGAGTACCTTGTAGAGAGGGGGCAGCAGGTTGCCTCTTGCTGGCTGCCGGTCCAGGATCAGCTGCACTGGAGAGCAGGACTTGCCCTCCATGGCTTGCCATCTGACTCCTGCGGCCAGCCAGGCACCCACAGGTTCTGCGCCGTGATAGCGCCTACGCCAGCTAACAGATTGGAGAGGTCACATGCCACAGACACTGCACCCCGCTCTCCCCGCCCTGGCCGCCACGCTGGCAGGTTGCTCAGCAGCAGCTGACTCTCTTGGCTGCTCTTCCAGACAGACAGATGGCCCCATGTCATCTGAAGTACGAAGGACAAGCTAAGCACACAGGTATGCAGCCAGTCACGCGCGATGGCAATGCACAGCCCGCCTGCTTCCCTGCTGCACCCCCGGCTCCCGCAGGGGAAAACGTCCATGCAAAGGGACCTTCTCCCCACAACTCTCCAGGAGGAAACTTCTGTCTCATCCCACTGCCCTTCTCCAAGCAGCATCCTCCTCGGCTGCCTTCCGTTGCAGCTCTTACTAGGCCAAAGCTTGAAGGGACTCAGGAATTTCTGATTCACCTTCATGGCCAGTAAATTTCCTGTCTGCGAAAATGGGTTTTGCGATCTTGTACTCCTGCCAGGAGCTGTAACATCACAATAAAAGGGTCGGTTTTCCAGGCACGCACACCCGCACGCAAGTCACTGGGGAGGGTGTGATTCTAGAAGGGCGACTGTGCACGCAGGAAGGGGAAAAGGAGAGGCAGAAGGCACAAAGGGAGGAAAGAGGAGAGAAAGAGAGAGGGAAGAGGCAGGGTGGGAACAGTGCGAGAGAAAGAAGAGGGAGAGGTGGGTGAAGGGGGAAAAAGGAGGAGAGTGGGAAGGAAAGACTAATGCATGGAGAAAGACAGATGTAGTAAGAGGGACTTCCTCTGCAAAAAGATGTCTGCAAAGTGAGCACAACTCCTTCCAACCAGGGCCACCAGGCACAGTAACCACTGATAGCCACACGGGACACACACACAGTCAGTGCTGATGGATGCTCTGCCCACCGGCTCTGTATTCTTAGTAGCTCATAACCCTGCAGATGAGGAGGCCAAGTGGGGAAGGCAGACTCAACCTCACTGTGCATTCACCAGTCACCCATGATCCATGGACCCACACAGCATCAGGAGGTAGATGGGAGACTTCCTAGACAGCACGGTGGGGATAGGGACCGGCTCTTCCTTCTGAGTAGGATGTTTGGAGGCCTGTTAAATTACCAGCACCATTTAAAAATCGCTGGAGCTGGGTGGACTCACATGAGTTGAGGATCTGGCTCATCGCTGATTAATAGTGAATGTAATGCAGGCCTGAATTGGTCCTTAAAGACTCTGAGGGCTGGGCTTTTTTCTCCCCGCTGCAAGAATCAGGCTGTTAAATCCAAAGTCCAGGCCAGATCCCTAGTCATAAAGTTCCCTTCTGTTTCCTCAAATACCATGTATATTTTCAATTTCCCAAAGGCTTCTTCTTCGCAGCATGCTCTAAACCACCACACAGTGTCATTCCAGATTTGTTAAACCACTGCTGCTATCCATCCCAGAGGTGGCTGCATTTCAATGGTGGGTGTAAAGACCCCCACGTACTCTGCATAAAGCCTTTAGGGGACTGGTTTAGGGAAGGAAAGAAGCCTGAGAAATGCAAGAGAGAATTAAAAAAAAAAAACAAAACACCAAACTAGGAAGCTATTGACTAAGCCCGTGTCTGACAGCGTGTTGCCAGAGTTTGGAGAGGCAGGCTATAATATTATATGCCCTACTTTCATTCCGGCGCAGTGAATCTCAGCACTCGGCCGAGTGAATAACACCAAACAAAAGGAGGTGCTTATGAAACATAGCGCTGAGTTGTGATAATAGAAGAGGGAAGAGCTTTGTCAGGGTAACTGACTGCCTGAGAAGGCGAGTGCCACGTGTCAGTTCAAGTGAGGGGAACATCTAGCCAAGCCATTATTAGGCTGCGGCTGCTTTTTTTTCTAAGCTTTCCCCTTCTCCCTGGAGTGTCTTAAAGAGCTGGGTGGGTGGCTGGGAACTTGCTCTTGTTCCATCGAGTGCCAGTAGTAGCACTGAATGGGGCAGTCCCATGCACAAAGGATCAGCCCCTGGATGAGGAGAGTCTCCAAAGCAGCTGCTGCCAACATGTGTGGAGGGTTTTCAGGAGCACTCAGTGTTGGTGGAGCTTTGCTTCCCCTGAAAGCAAGGGGCTGTCTGCTCCTGCTCAAGTCAACGGGCCTACGTTTGTAGTGAAAGCCAAGCAGGGATTTTCCCAAATGGATCCTCTTGTCCCTGGTTACACCGATTTCTCCCTCCGAGTCGCAGGCCAGGGTGGTAGAAGCATTATGCTATCAACCAAAACCTTCGGAGAAAGTAAGGAGCAGGGATCCTGTCCCCAAGGTGAGTCGGGCAGAACACAGACCCAAGTATCCATGCCTTGGAGAGAAGCACCATGCGACTGATTAAAGACCACCAGGGCTCTGGCCCCTCTCTCATACATCTGCCCAAAAGTTTTCTAGAGACAAAACTACTTGGTGAAAAACGAGCTCATCTCATCGTATGGTGCAAAGGATCATGACATAATCCCAGGATTTAGGATCATTTAAAGGGATAGTCATTAATTTATTTATTTTTTAATGAAAATACAGCATACACAAATGAGGAGCAAGCCACCACTTGAGGAATTTGGTACCACGTGTAGCTTTGCCTCCCCCTAACAAGGCATTGCCATTGTGCATCCAGTAAAAGTGCATCAGGTCCAGGGGGAGGCCGATTAGGGCTTTTCATTTTACAGTAGCCGAACTCCCCACTGTGAGAAGCAGCCATGAGCACATGGTTAGGCAGCTGGTGTGCCGGGGCTCCTGTGCCTCTTCCAGGCCAATATCATGTCACAGTTTCCTTGGGCTTCCTCCTCTGTCTACATCCACCTGTTGTCCTGCCTCTTACTACTAGATAGTCTCCATCCCAAAGAGTTTGTTCATACAGCACCTTGCACAGTGGGGCTTGAGACCTGGAGCTTCTTGGGGTTACTGCAAGAGGACACTAAAGGAAGAGAAACAGCAATATTTGAAAATGCAAATGCACAGGAAATTAATTTCCTGCTGCCTGCTGTTTATCTCCACTGAGTTCAGAGAAACAGAACTGTGTGCACGTTTTTTTTTTCTTTCAGTAAGCAAGCAAGATGCTCTCCCGACACCTGGGTTGTATCACTGCTTATTCATCCAAACATGAACAACCCTGCAAACACCTTCATTTCAGTTCACCACTCAAGGTAACTAGGAGTTCATTGAAGATCTTGCCTTTCTATGAGTCTTGCTACAACATTTGCTTTATTTTTACTAGGTAGCATGGAACCACAGGAACTCTTCCAAGCACCTGTCATGGCAGGTAGAAAAGGAGAGTTTTGGTGGACTACACTGTCCCAGCCTGGGGAAAACTGGATTGGAAAGAGTCCGACATATCACTAAGATACTCCCCCCGCCCCTCCTTTAAAATCAATGCTGAAGGAGAAGAATTCAGAGGTAGGCTGGGGATGGCCCAAAGGGGTTAGTAGAGCTGTAAGTAAAAGCAAGGGAGTTGAGAGCAGCCAAAGGCTAAGAGAAAAACCTAATATTCCTCAGGGCATGTGTAATGAGTCTGCTGCCCAGAAAGAGAGGATTTCACTGTGGTCTCTTTGGGACGCAAGAGTTGCCTGGACTTGGGAAATGATAGAGAGAATAGCAATAAGGTGTGAAGATCATGATCAGTCCACATCAAGCAAAGCAAAAAGAGAGAGACATGCTAATATAATTGATCAGAGGAGTAAATCTACAGAGGAGGAGAATATAAACACTCCTGCTGGCACAGCAAACCTTGTTGTGGATGTAATTTTAGGACAGTCAAAGTAATCTAAAGATTCAGAGACCACCAGGGCAGTTGAGGAATGGAAACAGCTTCCCCACGTACCATAAGGCAGAGATCTATGCGGTGTGATTACAAGATCCCATTAACTACCTGGATGTGGATGTGGGAACAGGAATGCAAGGGCAAGGCATCTTCCTAGAGGCAGCTCATAGGGACTGCTTTGCATTGCAGGTTATTCCACTAAAGACTATTCTGCTCACATGCACAAGAAGGAAGAAGAGCTAATATGAGATCACTGGCAATACCAGTGCATTGAAACAGCCTATCCCCAGAGAATGTCCAAGCACCAAGGCAGTGCAGAGCAAAGAGTCGGACACTTGCTTAGCCAGGGCTCCTGCTTGCTGTCCTCTCTTCCGCCATCCACATGATGGAGGAGCCACTGTATCCCACAAGAGGTTGTTCCCTATGGCTACATGTCCCACCCCACCCCAAATACATGCACCTTGTTTTTTAATTAGTCCAGCATCAGCTTCCAGCTGCCTCTGTCTGCTACCATGAGAAACCTCTTACACAGGAAGATACATTTAGACCACTCTCTAAATGGGTGGAGATGCCCATGTCTTTGACTGTACAATACACTCTTCATGCCATGAATCATTCTTGCAGCTCCTCTATGAACCCTTCCCACATCCTTTTTAGAAACGTAAGTAGGAAAGGGGCTCTCAGGACATCGCATCCAGTCCTCTGAGCTTACACACAGTCCAAGGAGTCCTAGAAGTCACCACTCCAACCCCTCAGACCCCACAACCAAAGTGCTTTACAAAACCCCACTCCACTACAGCACGCTGCCAGTACAAAGCAGGGAGACGAGGGCACTGCCGCTGCCCTGTCACTGCAGTGGGAAAAAAATCCCTCCTGATCCCAATTTGACACTAAGCAAGACCTTCTAGCCTAAAGGTACCTTTCTGAATTATGGACACCAGATATGGGCACATGAGCTAATGCCCCAGGAAGAGGTACTACCACCCCCTTATTTCTCCTCCATCGTTTGTCATCCAAGAATCTCATTAGTCCTCAGCTCCAAGCTAGCACTAACACCGGCCAACATTTGTGCAGCTCACAGCATAAGGTGGAACAAGGCCCTCAGTCACAGCCTCACGCAGGGAGCTCATGTTCAGCTGGCTATCCGCCATGGCCCATAATGATCACTCCCTTCTGCAAAGGTCTCTGGAGGTCCCACAATTGAAAGCACTAAGCAATGCCTGGGTGTTGTTATTAATAGTCATTATTATCATTTAAAACTTGGGAAACCAGCCTTGGAAAGGAATAGGAGATGGCCAGAGGGATTGCAACCGGAGATGTGCCAGCGTCTGGTAAACCAAGGCAGGAAAGACAGAGAGATGGTGCTTCAAATACATCCCAGTCCCCCGACCAGGGAGACAGTCTGCCTGGCTGAGTAAGGAAGGGAGAGGTGAAGATGGAGGGCTTTGAAAAGCATAAACAATCTGATCAAGAGCAGGATCAGGTGACCTAGGAGAAAAATCAAAGGAGCAAGTGAAAAGGGCAATTAGCCGAGCTAAAAATCACTGTGTGCCTGAAGCCGCACAGAATATTTTAAACTCTCAGCACAACAGCGCTCTTCAGCTCTATCCACAGCAGACAGGGAGAGATTGGCCCATTATAAAAAAATGTGACTGTGGTAAATTGGAGACAGGGGAAATAAGGAAGTGGCAGATTTGTTAAAGAGGCATTTTGCTTCTGTCTGCACTGAATGAGCTTGGAGACGGAGCAGTCTGGAACAAGAACAAGAGCATCACCTGGAATTAGAGGGGAGGAGCAAGATGAGGCCGAGGGAACACCAGAGCTAGAAATGGGAGCAAGCCAGCCCCCTGGATTAACAGCCCCCTCCAGAGATCTCTGCACAACCTGAAGCATGGAACAGGAGCCCTCTCATCTTCATTTGCATAGCAACAGAGATTAAATCATTAGCTGCCCAGACTGGATATCTGCTCGGTGTCAACTGGTGTGTGACAAGGGGGCTGTCCCAGGGCCAGTCACAATGTTGGCCTGCCCACCTGTCTAGGGCAGTCCACCCTGACTATCCTGCCATGCCTTGTTGTATTAAATAAACAGATGGAAAAATGCATGAGGCTCCCCATTTTATGCCCTGATGCCAAGGGCAAATACATGGCTCAGACCTCTCCTTTACCATGTCCCATGCCTTACAGATGGCATCCAAGAGTCTCTTCCACTATTACCCCCCTCCCAGCCCCACTGCTGGGCAGCACTCAGCCTCTGGCCCAAGCTTGGCCTCAGTCATCCTCAGACTTACCTTGACCACATGCCCCCTCACTGGGGCCTCTACTCCCACACGCACTCTGGGCTCCTGGCCTCTCGTTAGGCTCCTTGCCCCCTCACTGGGGTTTCTGGGCCTTACACCCCTTGGGGCCCCTTTCAATGTACCTGGACCCCACTCTTGGCCTATGGATAACTCGGGCCTCAGGTATCTGTTGACATACCTGGACCTCACTCTCCTTCAGACCTCCCACTAGGCATCACTCATTCAGGCATTGATGTTATTAATTTTTCATAACAGGGAGGCTGCCCCAGGGCCTCTTAAGACTACAAGTACTCATGGTCATTGCCTGAAGGGCTCATGTCATGGGCTCCATCCTCCCCAATACGCATTCCCATGCTTCCCCAATCCCATACTCTTCATGGACTACAGGCTCCCAGCCCAATGCTTTGCCCTCTGGCAGGCCCCAAGCACTGAAGGGGGATGGCTAGGAGGGCACTAGACCCTCCTAGCCATCCCCCCTCCCACCAGGCACCAGACTCTCTTGCTATGCCCTGGGCACTAGACCCTCCCGGTCCCCTCCAGGCACCAGATCTTCTTCCAAGTACCTAGTCATTGTTGGACTCAAGCTCACTCCCTGTGGGCCTCAGACCTATCCCTTCCAAGGTCTGCCCTGGCACCACAATCCGCCTCTCAATGGGCTCTGGCTCTCTGCCTCCGGGCCCTAGGCCCTCTATCCTTCCAGCCCCTCACTCTCTCTCTCTAATGGGGCCAGTTGGGACCTCCATACCTCCCCTTCAGTCTCTTTCCCAACCACCAGATCATTCCTCAGCAGCCCTCTCGGGCACTGGGCTCCTGGCCCCGCTGCTCCCAGGCTTATCTCTTCCAAGGTCTGGCCAGCTCCTCTCAAATACTGGGGCCTTCTCGGGCTTTGCTCTACTCACCTGCTGGACTTCAGGCACCCTGGCCCTCCACTGTCTGCTGACCCTCTCCAGGCTCACCCACTCCTGTGCCCAAACCTATCTCTTCCAAGGCCTGATCTGTCCTGGGCTCATTGCTGCTTACCCCAGCTCAGCTGTTATTGGATCCCTGCTGCCAGGAGCTCTTCTCCCAGTGGCACTCAGGGGTACACTGCCTGACCAGCCCAGGCCCTGGGCTTATATAGCACAAGCCCTGCCCCTTCTTGGTCAGCTGACTTCCTAATCAGCCCCTGCCCCTGCAGACCCCTTCTCAGATAGCCTTACCTTTTAAAGTGGCAGGCATACCCCACGTGCCCTGTCACACTCTTCTACCCAGAGGATGATTTCTATGTAACCAAGTAGCAGGCAGCACGTGTAGGATGGGATGAGATAGGCCAGCTCCACCTCTGAATCCTCCAAACCAACTGGGCCTTCATCAGAGGAACCTAGAAAGACAGGCTGGGAGGCATGAAGATAGAGCAAAAGACATGACTGAAACTAACCTAGAAGTGGAGTGAATATGCAACAAACCAACTTTTTCTTGTCTTGTCTCCAATTAGCCCATCTGGAGGCTTCTGCTGGAAAATGTTTACCCGCCAGAGCCAGCTCACAATATGAAACTCCGGAAGAGGGAGCAGAGAAACTCTTTAATTCCCATCAATGCTTACGGGTGCTGCTGTTTGTTTCTGAGTTTTAATAAACAATTTACAAATGTTGTCTCTTTTTTTCCCACGGTTCCCCAGTAATTGAAGGCTCATTAATAAGGAATGACTTGCTCAAACGCAGCTCATCACTCTCCCTGACAAGGGGGGCGGGAGGCCCATGAATATGCATGGCTGTCATATTTACCTTCTTTAGGATTTCATAAAAATGCCTAAATAAATAGCACTCTCTTCCCAGCGCACACTCCGAAAACACAACCTGGCTCCCGACATCCCCAGCACGCTGCTCCTGCCTGCTTTCTTCCTGTCAGCCCTCTCCTACCACCCCCTCCCAGAGCCTGGTGAAATGCAGCTATGATTATTAAACACCCTCTTTGTCACAGCTGGTCAAATACAACAGGGTGTCTGTGTCAGTGCGGGATGAAGAAGGCAAACACAAACAAGGTGCTCCTTATAATGGAGCGAGGGGTAGCTTTGCAAAAAGTGAGAAGGAGGGGGCTGTTTTAATTAGCTTAGAAAGCAGGCTCTCTGGCTTTGAACAGCTGCAGTCACTCGCTGTTTAAGCTGTGGGATTTCGGAGAGATTGGCAGATTCCGTTCCAGGTGCTTTCAGTTGCTCTCGCAACAATGGCCTTTTCAATATTTCCGGATCCCATCTTGTCCAGTTGGATGCTGTACCCAGCACCGTGGGGTCAGAAGCCCAGGTCCACAAAAGTATCCTGGTTTCTTAGCCCCAGTGCGACCAGTGTGAATGAATGGGAGCTGGGTGCCTAAATGCTGTTGTGATTCTGGTCCCGAGGGCCATGGGCAAAAAGAAGAACAAGCAGAATTACCAGTCTCACATCACTGGCAGGTCTTGGCTGCACTGGCCTTTCTGCTGCAGAGACAACCATGGCCCTGAATCTGTTCAACTCGTCTTCACCTAAGTTTGGAGCCAGATGCAAAAGGTCCCCTCTGCTGCATGCACACGTGCATATTCCACTGGCAGGTTATTTTCTTGAGAAATTCCCACTCCGGGGCTCAAAACAAACTAGTGAGTCCTGCTCCTGGTGGTATCCTTGTAATCTCCCTGTCTCCCCTGGGTTCTTCAGGAGAGTTCAGTAACACCTCATATCCTTCATCCTTCAGCGAAGGAGAAGAGAAAGGAGCAGGGAGAGGAGAAGGAGGGTGGGAGGTGATCCCTGCATGTAGCTATGCCAATCAACATCGCAGCAAATATTCCTCTCCCCCACTCAGCCTGTGATCAGACGTTACAGGCCTCTTTTAGATGTCTGAAGCCATTCCCTGATCCGCTGTCAGGAGCTGCCCTGCGGGTCCCTGGCAATATTTCAGAGTAGCTTGATTATTTTTATTGTCTCTAACTTCCACTCAAAGCTGCGCCTGCTGTGTCAGCCGGAATATTTATAGCACC